TTAAAGGCCAAACTACTTAACAATAGTCACTTATCTACAATTTAATCCGATGGAGGACTATGAGAAGACTCCTCTTAATGGAAATCACATGGGAGCACAGTCTAGTTTGGATTTAATTCAGAACCATGCTTAACAAGAACTTCTAAATTTAAAATACAAGCCTTCCTGTGAGCCAGCACACTTGGAGGCCTTCTTTAAGGACCTGGCAAAGTGATTTAGTTCCTTTCTAGTTCATCTCAGCTGTTCCCCTCTCCTTTTYCATTCCRACATAGTTTTCTGAGGTTCCCCAATGTGCAACAGCAATTAATCAGCCACATTCACAGTTACGTTATGCTGAGCTGCATTTGCTGCATTGTAACTCCCGCTTGCCAGAGTGAGTAGTGGTTCTTAAATCACCCTAATAAGTGAAAATAAATCTAGTGCTTATTTTGCAGTGCAGAGCTCAGTTGGAATCCAAAGATGGAACAAGATCACGTACTAACCTTCTGATTTCTCTGGTTCCACCATTTCAAGCTTTTTTGCATTGCATAGAGTGAAAAATCTTCAGCACAGAAGGGTCCCCCTCTCTAGCAAACTATTGTGGATAATCCTGATATCTTTTAGTTATTGTTTAAGGTCCTTTTTCAGAAGCTGAAAACCTCAAGGTCATGCTCAAAGGAGAAGGTCATTCTCAAATTGAAAACCTCAAAGGTCATTCTTTAGGAGCCTTTCAGAATAGGACACTGTGACACACAACAGGTGACGTGTATCTGCTGCCTGTCTTTGAACCTGCTAACTACAACAACTGCCAGTATCTTAACCTCTAGTGAAGCACCTATACGCACATACATGACTTTCCAAACYGTTATGCTGGGGGTTATATTCAGTGGAAACAGTAACTATCAGAAACTTACTGCGTGTTTGCCCAGCTATCCATACCATTTCCTCATGCATTGCCACAATTAGAATAAAAGTCAGGAACCACTATTAATTATATTTGGTTCTCAGCTCCTCTTAGGCAACTTCATTCTATCCCCTTCTCTTTTTTTWAAGTATCTATTATCCTCAATATCTGCCTCTCAAAGTTCATGCTAAAAATGACAACTCACTAATGAGCATCCTGCTTCAGCTGAACTCAAAATTTCCTCTTGAAAAATWAAAAAAATGGCAAAGAGGCACTGACAGGTCAGCTTTTAATTTTAACAACTGCAGTCTCAGGACAGGTTTTAAAAACAAAACAACACACACACAGAAATATTTCTCTGACAAGYTGTATTTCTCCTGTGCTTTTTCACATCCAGTAAAAACAGGACTGGATGAGMCAGGAGATACAAAATTGCAGATGAACAAATACATCCATTGACCAGTTGGAGCAAATAGGAAAAAAGGAAGGGAAATGTTGCYATGAATGATTATTAKCAATTAACTGTATTGCCCTACAAGTGTTAGTATGTTAGCAAAAATGATGACATCTTACTTATAACATGGCTAGTGTCATCTGAGAGTCTTAGTGTCTTCTATCTGAAGACACTAAAGCCTGATGCCATAGGAGAACTGCAATCTTCAAGAAATGTTTCCAACAGCAGGCTGCTACTCGTTGGAATTTTTAATTCTAGAAGGAAACACTGTCAAAAATCTGAATTTGTAGCAGCACCTAAGCACAGAGTAAGCAGCAATGCTCTTACCTYCTTCCAAACGTTCATAATATTTCTCCTCCCAAAGCTCAGTTAGATCTTTCTGTCAAACACAGCACTGTGGGTTTTACAGCACATTATTTTTCCCTCTGAGAATCTGCATCAGCCACAGGAAACCAAATTAAGACAATCCCTGGCAGTGAGGTGGTCAGTGCTACCTTGGAGGCTCTAAATGAAACGGTGTCCTGCTGGGCTGAGGCTGCCTCTCCAGGGGGCCAGGCAGATGGAATAAAAATAAGTTTCTGTTTTCACTGGAGATGTGTGAGAACTGGTGTGTGTCTCTCCTTTCCCCAACTGCATTAGATACTTTCAATATGGACTCAACCTTCTCCCACCAGACTTTTCATAAATGACATCAATAAGACACTGTGTTTGTCTCTCTCATCCTCACGGTGAGATTTCTGAAAAAAAGACTACACCTTTCCTCCATCTTTTCCCATCCACGTAAAGCCTAAGACRTAAATAGACCTAACAGCTTTTTATGGTATCAGTAATAAACACTAGAGAGATGACAGCAATTCTCAGCTTTAAATTGTGTGAATAGCTTGAATTGAGTCAATCTCTAATTTTCCGACAATAGTAACTGTTAGTAGTCAGATCTCTATTTTTCCGAAGGGCATCTATAAAAAGCAAGAGATACGATTGCTGAGACCAAGTTAGAAATTTGCTCTTCCATTATCCAAAACGTGGCCAAGCTCCCTCTCACTGAACAGATTCTGCTGCTGAGCTGCTAGAGGCTGCAGTGGACACAGGATTCATCAGGTCCTACAACAGCTCAAGGCAAGCGGCTCCACAGGGTCACRAGGACTCCAGACAGAAGTACGGGAAGGAGCAAAAACAGAGGGTGAGCCCTGGGAGTTAGGCTCTGCATCATACCTGTGCTATTTTTACCCCAGCAAAGACAAACAACACTGTGTATTTATTCTTCTGGGATCTGCAGGCGCCAATTTAATTAACTTTATCAAATGCCACAAAATCCCCCTCATTCTCACGTCTATCTCAGAGACACACAGAGATGAACACGTTAATTGACAAGAGCTTCTCYGATTTCAGCAAAGCATCCAAACTGGTCAAGCAGAGAGCACGAGCTCCCAAGCAGGCAGGCTGCAGGGCTGCTTCATCAGCGGGATGAAGCCTCAAATGTGCCAATTTGAAGGCACAAAATACTACTGTACAAATGCCTTAAACCAATATATATCTGTGATGACCAATTCATGTAAGATTGACTTAGAATAAGGATTTTTTTTTAATCCCCGCGGTGATAACTTTTCTTTAAAATTTCGCACGTAGGAACTTGACATTTGTAAATGATTTTCTTTGGTTTAGCACAGCTCCTTCCAATTAAACTCTTCCCATTTTGTAGGATACAGTCATGTTAACAGCTCACTTGGTTTAAAAGGATTTCCTTGGCRACCCTTCTGACTTGCAGGTGCTCCTAGCAGACGCTCTGCTAACCCWTACCCCAAACCACTGGGTCTTCTCAGCAGCGCAAAGTTCTTCAATTTTCCTCTTATTCGAGGCTAATGGTTTTCACAAACAGTTTTCACGTAGCTGGCAAACTAACTCCTGGAAACTTGACATCTATTAAGAAAAAAGCGAAACACCCTACACAGCCCCAGTAACTGCCCTTTAGACATTACATTGCTTATTGTGAAAGTAGGGTTTTTTTTTTTTTTTCTCTTACATTGTGTTCATCTGAGGAAGCTCAGTCTCATGATTTCATTGTTAGAACTGTGGTTGACGATGGTTGACTGTCACTGATTATACATACATATACACACACAYGTACACTTTTTTTTAAAGCAGAGCTCTGAAGGACTCTGCAAGGGTCAGATTAATTAAAATGAAAAGCAACCTTTATATTTTCACTTACATAATATTCAAAGATTTTTCCTGTTAAGCAGCTTTGACTGTTGAAATGTACTTGAGCCCACAATACTCTCCGTAGACCTAGAGCACTCAGGATGCTGCGGGTGTTGTTAGCCATGTACAAACACATCAAACACRACACACAGGTTCCAAAWAAKKGCAATCCTTAYCCACATAGGTATACAAAATGGGACATGGAAATATACAATACATAGAAATATAAAACGAGACACAAAGTCTCATTACCCCTGTTTTATCACCAGGGAATTGGGTTGGCTGGTTTAAGACAGACACTGCTATGCATCATTTGGAAGATATCACCATACAGCACAGGCTTTGGGCAATATCGAGTTGTCTGAATTTCTACTGCATTTTCATATTTGTCACAGAGGTTAAATGATTTATCTAGATAAAGTGACATCTATTGGCATCTAGCACAGGTTATTTCCATGACAACAACTTAATCTTCCTCTACAAAGCACGTGTTTGATACCAGCTCCCTAGATACTGTTTCTACTGTGGGAAAAAAATAACACATTGGTTAATGTAGTATTAAAAACTTAGAAGGCCTGGAACGATAAAAAAGAAAAAAGAAAAAAACATATAGTTGGGGAAATATTTCTGGTAAGGAACTCATTTACCATCATGGACCTCTCATGACCATAAAGCAAATGGATACGGAGAGATTCTTAATATCACATGTGGGCTGGAATACAACAGGATAGCTGCTGGCAAAAACCTCYTAGCCCATGAGTACTATCTCGTATGAGTACTACTTCCGCCTATCAAGAAAACTAAGTGAGGGCAAGAAATTCACAAACTTATTTGGAACGGCATCCTCCAAAAAAGTCAGCAAGTCTAAAGCTTTACCAAGATGAATGACTCCCCCCTTCCCATCCTTGAAAATTTAATTAGGTTTTATCAGATTTTGGAAGTTTCTGGTCTAAAATTTAGATAAGACTAAGATTTTATTGGAAGTGCAATGAAGACAGCATTTACTTCCTRGTCAGTATTTGRAGTAAGGCAGAGGCTATAGAACTATGGAAGGRGAAAAAGGTTATTAAGCACCAGACAAGGTTTGAGAACTTGCTCTGATATGCCATCTTAACCTCTTTCATATYACCTATGTAAAAAGCGTCACTTTTTTTCTGTTTCTAATGAAATGCAACCTATCTTCTGACACACTACCAAGCTCCCAGAACTGCTTCCCACACTTTTGCTGCAGCCTTTGATAGGAGGAGCCTGATGCTCAAGSCCTCCCTAGCCCCCTTCCTATCTGCTGGCTGCACGGTCCATACAAGGACCCCAGTGCTCTATCTCTCTCTCCCAGCTCCACCAGGGTTGGAATTTCCTCCTTCCAACTCAGCTACTTCTCCTTCAGACCTGCTTCATCTCTTGCCTTCCCTTGTGTGTCTATGGGCTTCCCATCACAAAATGTAATACACAGGAGAACTGCTTCAAATGCATCAGCTCCGTCTGCTTGTACTCACAATGGTGCTGCTGAATGCCACTTGAGATTGGTTACTGTCACGACGACCAAGAGACTTCTGCCTTGTATGGCCTTGAAAGTGAGCCCTGGCRCTCTGGCACCTCCTTAAAGGTCTTACTGTCCTCTGCTTGCAAGTGGCTGGTCGCTCAATGTTGGGAGGAAGAGTGAAGTGCTGAAAGTCTGCAAAGTCCTCAGCGTCTAAATCCAACTCCTTATGGGTTTCCAGATGTCTGACTGCAAACAGAGGAAAATAAAATATTACCTCTCATTTTACTCATGAGGAATTCCTCGGTTAGTTAGAAAAAGATGAATCAAACAATGAGCAAAATGAAAACAATTCAAAAAGCAACAGGAAAAAACTTCACTGTTGACTTCAGTTTCTGACAAAYCCCACTCTGAAATGTTTATGATCACAAGAAAACAAAAATACATTTTCAAAGTGATCAATCATTTTTATGGACTTCTCATAATGTTCACGCTCTTAAGCTGCACTTTGCAGGAGATTGGAAGAGTGAAATATGGTAAATCACAGCATTGTTCACGTTTTCAGTCACAGAGCATAAACATCTCTTTGGCAAYTGCTTGTCAGCTTAAAAAAAAMCAAAACCAATAAAACCCTTAGAACTATCTAGTGAAAAGAACTCAGCAACGTTCAAGCAACAACAGACCTGAGTCAAAAACACAGATTCACAAAGCCCCAAACACAGACGGCAGCTAGGGTCTACTCCAGAAAACACATGATTGTAATCTTCCATATCACACAGAAAGACTCTATGGTAATTTCTTGTGGACCCACTGAGTTTAATTACTAACTAAGCTGGATTTGTGAGCCTGTAAAAGATTGTGTGGCAGAAACTCCCTGCAGAAGTGAAAGAGCAAATGTTCCCTCTACAGTCTCAAATTCAGAGCAGCACACGAGATATCTGCAGTGGGAACAGGAAGATCTTCACACCTGGCTTCAGAATCACTGAAAACTCCTTCACTTTGGAGAATCTCCACAACAAGAGTCCCTCACAAAAAGGAAGCATCGAAGCTCTACYTGCAGTCAACCATTAGAAGGCTCCGTAGTTTTAAACTAAAATTTCTTAAATTTTGTCCGAGATCTTCAGTAATATTTAAGGCTCGACACTGTATGGGCAAATCTGCTTCCTCGTCATACAGGTCAATGTCATTGTGAAGCAAAAAGACTTGGCCCAACTTGACTAACTCAATGGACACATAGAGAGAGATGGGGATCAAAACCTGGAAGAGATTAAATTCTCCTTGAGGGCTAAGACAAGTCTTACTGCATTCTCTCAGCAAAATCCTGTCACAGATGGACTAACACTTTCCAGAACAAGCAGATAAGCAGTTTTCTCCAAAGACATATAGTAGGACTGRAAAACMMTTTAGAAATTAAAGAAATCCATGATGGAACAGTAATGGATAAAGAGGGTCAATAAATGACAAATTAAGATGYCTGGATCTCCAAGTGCAAAAACCTTGCACSTTTCAAAGCATGTCTTCCAAAGCACATCTTCTAACCTGAGATGCATCCTGAGAAGGATGAGCTGCACACATGGTCACTCTTACAGTAACAAAAAGAAAAAGAAAAAAGTTGCACAAACAATTCCTGTGTATCCAAAACTTGCCCCAGCCTCTTCCTCCTCCTAATTTAGCTTCTTTCCCAAGTCAGTACAACCATACCTAGTTATTATTCCCTATTAGCAGAAATGACAATAATTTTTGTTTCACTGTTTTCCTGAGACACTTAGTGACAGTCCTATTTTTGGAATGAGGGATGCAGGTACGAAAAAAAAAGTTGACATTTGGATGTAAGGCGAATAAGGACAGGGACGCTAGTAGACCTAATCCTAATGAACAGAGATGGTCTAACTGGAAATGTTAACTAACTGGAGGGTTGGGGGCAGTCTTGGCTGCAGTAACCATGAGATGTTGGAATTCACAAACCTGCATGGAGGAAGCTGGGTAAGAAGTAAAATTRCAACCCTGGACTTGAGGAGAGCCAACTTTGACCTCTTCAAGTAGGAATCCCCTGGGCCAGGGTCCTAGAAGGAAAGGGAGTCCAGGAGAGTTGACTAACATTCAAATACCACTTTCTCCAAGCTCAGGCTTGATGCATTCCTGCAAGAAAGAAGTTGAGCAAGGAAGGCAGGAGACCTATCTGGGTGGGCAAGAGAAGAGAAGACTGAGAGAAGATCTGATCAATAAGTACCTGACGAGAGAACGTAGGGAGGATGGTGTCAAACTCTTCTCGGTGGTGACCAGTGATAGGACAAGGGGCAATGGGTATAAATGGGTATAAATTCAAACATAGGAAGTTCCATCACCATGTGAGGAAGAATTTCTTCACTGGGAGGGTGACAGAGCCCTGGAACAGGCTGCCTAGGGAGGTTGTGGAGTCTCTTTCTCTGAAGGTCTTTAAAACCCACCTAGAGCATGTGTGCTCTGGGTGTTCCTGCTTGAGCAGGTGGGCTGGACGAGATGATCTCTAAAGGTCCCTTCCAACCTCAACCATTCTGTGATTTTGTGTGTTTCTGCAATGCAAACATCCTGAGTCTCATTTCAATACGAATTTAGCCCAGCAGTCTTGAAGAGACATGAGCTTGTTTGGTGCGTGTGGGAATTCTCCATCATTTTGGTACGTTGGAGCTTTTTCTTCCAATTTCAAAAGGAACAGCTAAGAAGCATTAACAAAACAGAAGGACATATTGAATAGGGTTCCACAAGCATATGTTCTCACTCAATAATTTCATATTTTCCTGGCAGATGAAATGAAGATTATGCCTATTAAATTTCCAAACTAGTAAATACTGCAAGTAGTTAGAAGGGTCTGCTCAGAACTCAAATCGATCTCTCAAACAGGAGATTCAGACTGAACAAAAAAGGGGRTGTTATACGAAAGGGCAGATGAATTTGTCACACCTAAGCAGAAAAATTCAGCTACATTAGAAAATTCTGCAAAAGATGACCTAGGGACTATTGTGGATCCTAAACTGAGCATAAGTTCACGTTGTGCTATTGGGGAAAAGCAGTCAGGGAAATGTGCTACAGAAATGGGAAGCAGATCCTGTAAGAGACATAAAGTTAGCATCCTTCTTGTGTACTCGTACTAGAAAAATCCCACTGATTTTAGGCACTAAATGTTGGTTGAACCCAGTTGGAGAAAAGAAGAGGGAGAATAATTCAAGACCTAGAAATAGTCCTCAAAGTGCAAGATTTCTTGTATAGGAAATTGCATAGATGACTAAGAGCTATGCTAAGAATGTGTGCTAAGATGCTGGAGAGAGCGAGGGAGCAATCCCTCCTCCATGCTTGGTGGTTACAGGACAAGAAACAATGGCCTTAAATTTCTTGGAGAAAAAAATCAGGTAAGACATTAGGAAAAAGGTCTTTTTACCAGTAATGGAGATCTCTAAGGATCTCTCTTTGGGATCATCTGGAAAGGTTGATCCTCTATCAGGAGGCTGCACAGGTTGCACAAGCATCTGTGAAGATCAGCACAGTTGACCCTGCCTGAAAAGAGGGAACGCCGCAGGGACAATTTATCTGTCCTAATCCTGAGCTTATCTTTTGCAGAGAAGCTGAACTGTGCCTGAGGATACATATGCTGCTTTTAATGGTGGGGGCTGACTTGGGAAGGAAAGCAAACCTCCAATGCAAAACCAGGCCTTTGACATTGCCAATACAACACACTGTGCATGTATGCAGATCTCTCTCTCTCTCTCTCTCTCTCTCTCTCTCTATATATATATATGCATACATACACATCTGTAATTGGAGACCATCACCATTAGATTCAATTTGAGAATTTGGAGGAGAAAGCCTAGCAAAACAGCAGGCTCTGGGGTAACTTTTGTGTTATTTATCTTTAATTTCAGAAACCTGGCTAGAATGATTCACAAAAATCTTGTGATTCTGAATATTTTTGTAGCATTGCCATGGTAACCTGATGTGATATAACAGATGCAGGGGATATAAAAGTCACATATCTGAGTAAAAAATGTTGAGACTTTTCTAAAAGGAAGAAAAAAACAGTGAAAATAAAATATAATTTGTATAAAATATAAAATATATACCTGCAACTCCTAAATATTGCTGAACTGAAGAAAAACAAAAATTTCCTTGGAGAAGTAGCTTTCCTATTTCCCTGTAATACTATTGTTAATGTAAAATATTATATCAGAAAAAGATGTAGAAACTATTTTGTGCTTTTTTGACCTATCACATTACAGAGCTGCAAGAGAAGCATGCATACYGGATGTCAGGATGATAATTACTGCTTTATCTCCACATGTACAAAGAATATGAGAGCTGGATAGATTTGGAGGCACATTTCTATGCTGATCAGCAGTGACAAATACTGAACCAGAAGCTTCTGCAGCAGAAAAACAATTTATAGTGCTGGGGGAGAGAATTATCCCAGCTCTTTGGGGCCACAGCACATGACTCAAGCCAGACTGGTGCAGAATCTGATTGCTAGTGCATGCAAAGGCAGGACTAGCCAGTTTGCTGCAGGAAAATCTGTATAAATGACCTAAATAAATAGAGATGAGACATGCATATGTAAAGCTGAAGCATCCAAAATAATTGGGATAAAATGTCAATGCTCTCTATACGGCTATGCTTTGCTTCACCATTCCCAACACCTGTAATGAAGACAGAGACAGATATTGCTGGAGTTCTCAACCAATCTGCCCATATTGATTCCCATTAGCAAAGCAGATGCAGAGTCAAGGGAAATATAAGATGCTGTAATTTGCTCCTACCCATGCTAAACATGGCAATTTTAATGCATAATTTATTTAGAAAACATAGGCTGTTTGGGGATTGTCCAGTACTGAAGGATACACTCAGAGACTGTTCGCACACTAGTGGYAGTTATCAGTAATTCTCTGCTTTGGTACATATTTAATCTTTATGGGATATATTGTGCCTGATTCATAGCAAAGGGCATGATTTTACCAAAATAATACAAAATAATATAGGCATAAATCTGATTGCTGGATTGGTCATTTTCACTTATACCTCTTAAAATTGCAGCGAAATAAGATGTTTGACACAGCTGTTGCTGACCACTTAAATTACAATTAAGAGAAGAAAATAAACATATAAGTAGACAGATATTTTAAAATTTAAAAATAAAYATATACTTATATAAAATATATATTACATGCAAAAAAGCCCTAACAATGATGTAGTCTGGCAGCTTCTATGAAAAAAAGTACAGCAGT